TGCCGTTTCTCTCGGTGAGTTCATCGTTTCGTCGATTCGTCCGGAGCTTTTAGCTCGTGCTGGGCGCGCGAGCCGTGACAAAACAACGCGCGTGACTTGTGACAGATAACGCGATACGTGACCGGCGATACGGGAGACGGTCCCGGCCTCGAGCGCGTTATTCGTTATCGGAGCAGCGATAAGAGATCGCGCGGCGGATACGTGACTCACGGCGAGATACGGTCCACGACGCCGCACCGCGCCGCGCCGGCTCGTTAATAACCCAGCATCAGGCGGCTTTTGCCGGGCGGCGACGGTACACGACGGTGCGCGCGTGTTAAGTTACCGTGCAACCGCGCTCCGCGTTTAATGGGGAATTAATTATCGCGGCGCGTACGTGCGCGCGAGGATACGGACCCGGAGGCTTGTAACGGGAGTTCCGCCGCGCGATGAAAGCACAGGGACGAACATCGCTCGCGTAATTCGTTATTACTGTAGCGTCTCGCCGGGCGCGCGTATAGCCCCACGTATAAGCGCCTGTAATACGTTGGCGCTAATCAGTTTAGCCGTCGGACCCGTCGACTTTCAATACGCCGAATTTTTCAGGGAAGACACGAATTCGATTTTTGAAAAGTCTATCTTCTTTGACACTGACTTTTCTAAACAGTTGCGCGTCTGACTTTTGCATAAATGATAAGGAGGTTACAACTTCGGAAAATTACGCAAAACTGCATATTTTCCTCTTCGTTGGGAGAAAGGAAGCGACTCGGACGAAAGATCGCTTAATAATTGCGACAAATAAATCCCGGCAATCGCGATCGAACGAGGGATACCGTCACGAGCGGTTAAACTATTGTCGGGGAAAAAAAAGAACAGGCGACCCCGGTAATGACAGCTTCTTTATGGGACGCGTAAAAAGGTGAACGGAGAACACTCCCTCGCGGAACTCCCGGGACAGCCGCCATCGAGGTTTTCACGCTCGAATGACGCGTCCCTAGATTTCATCTTCCCTCCTCGAAAATCCTAAAGTACTTCCATCATACTTTCTTACTGTTTCTCTTGCCCGTCCCACTCTCTTCTCGTGCTCTCCACTCGGACGCGAAACATCGCTGCGACCTCCTTAGAAATGTCGCTCCGTCTTGTTTACCCTTTCCTATTTCCCCCACCCCCAAATGTTTCCTCCGCCCCTACTTCGTCGGCGGTCTGTTTATCTGTTCCAGGATAATTCGAATCGTCCTCTCCTTCTCTCACGCCGGTATATAGGACGAGCCACTTCGTCAGAATTTAATGCACCGTAAAACGAGGCTTTTCTCTCCCGCGCTCGCTCCTTGTCTTCGTGTCTCTCCCTGCACTTCCGAACTCGCGACTGAATCCGCTTTATCATTACCACTGCAGTTGCACGCGCGCGCGCGCGCGCGGCTGCGATTTCGGCGAGCTTTCGTTCCTGAAGAAATCCACTCGCGGGATGTACCCGAGATAAGTAAAGCCGACGAAAGCCTCGAGATAGAAGTCGCGTTTCTGTCTCGTGATGGGAATTCTACGAACTCGACGCATCGCCGTGCAATTCCATCGGTAATTTTTAACAGTTATTGTCGTTGCACGTGGAAATCTTCCCTAAGAAAATATTCGTTCCAGAAACATTCCAAAAATTGACTTGAATTTAATTGTGAAAATATGTTACACAACTATATAGCCGAATAGAGAGACGTATAATCACGATTTGTATCGATTCTGAGATACGTACGTTTGGAACATCCTGTATCACGTTATTGACCAACGCATCCGAATACGATAAACGAGACTGAAATTTCCAAGCACTAATTAAACCGCGTGATACACAGATCCTGACGGGAAGAATGAAAAAGTATTTGGTTTCAGTATACACGCTTATGGCGTAGGTGCGAATTCATGCGTTTGGATGAATGCGTATCGAAAAATCCGCAATTCGCTCGGGGCGCGTGTATGACGAATCGCGCGCTAGTTTGTTTTGTAAAATTGACAGACAGATACTAAAATAACGGGGGAAAAAAAACAAAAAAAAACAAAGGGGGCGGAAAGAAAGAAAGGGTGAAATGGAAGAATAGCGGCCGGCGATAGAAATTCTAGGCAATCTACTCGGTAATTGAAGCTTCCATTATTTTTCCGGCAGAGTTGCGTACAACCAACTCTTTTGGTCGATTCTCTTGTTTCCCACGTTTCTCTGCGTTTCGTAATGCCGATACACACGTATATATGTATTTTTTTAGGGGTCAAATGTTTTTGAAACTGTGCTCCGGAAAATTCGGTATCTTCCCGAAAGAAAAATGAACAACCAACGTCCTGCGACACAACGATTTAAATTGAAAAATTCTGTAATCCCGCTACGGATTTTAATAACAATATTAAGCTGAGCGTTTTTAATTTTCACGCTAAATATTTTTTATTTCACGAATAATATTTTCAATGTATTTCTTATGTATTCTCGCGTATCTCTCGCTGTACCACACTGTCCGATCATTGGGGGGGGGGTTTTCCTTTCGTTTAATCGCAACAAATTAGTCCACTTGATTATCAGTAAAGGTACGATTCTTCATGCTTTTACGGAGTATTAACTTGTCAATTACTATATTAAAGTAGAATCAATTCGTGCTAATCATGTGTATAATATTACTACTGGTTAACACATGTCGTTAACGCATTAGACACAATATTCTATTAGATAAATATTCTATCAATTTAATACACAAGTATATAGATAGAGATCGATGTTAACTATACTTTGCTATGATACACAGTTTGTGCTACGTCAGTGCCTACGTCTTGGGGATGCAAACATGTAAATTAGGTATAGGATTCCAATATAAAAAGATACTAGCAAAAGGTTAATCGGTAATGCATTCCTAAATAAAATATATCAAGAACGTGGTGTGTGGAATAAGTAAAAATTACACGACGTACATCCATCCGCCGTGACATCTCAACTTCGCCATATAACGTCCGTCTATTAATAACTCTCTTAAGCGCACTGTTAAGAACATTTTTAATACAATGCGAAATTAACCCATCGCATGTTCGACACCGAGATCGAACCGCGTTTTCGAGGACGGCAGGCAAGATTTCTGGATTGCAGCCTACGTTTACCTGCGGCAAGAACGATTCCGGGTATAGCCCGAGCTACAAAACAGCGGCCAATCGGGACGGTGAAGCTTGGAAAAAGTCACGGTGCCTGTAAGCGTGCCATAATATCGAGTAACATGCAGCCCTCGCGCGCGATACAAGCTCTTGCATGCGCTTAATCATTGCACCGCGATCGCGGCGAGATCGGCACGCACGCCGATAAACGGGGGTGGGCCGGGCGCCTCGCGAAAAATATTCTTCGGGCGTTTTACCGCGCTCGGAAGATATTTCGGTCGTTATCGCGGTAGAGTTGGGGCACAGAGGCAATGAATACGGGGCAACGAATTAAACACGGAATTAGGAGTGGGGAATTAGTTTCGATACTTATATAGGAAAAACCATGCTTCAGTCCACGATAAACTTATTGTCAACGTGCTTTCTATAATTTTGACGCTTGAGAAAAAAAATTTCACATTAATTTTAATAATAAACTGTTTTACATCAATTCAGATTTTTTCTTATTACGAATTAAACTTTAATTATCGAAATATATTTAACACTGAATAATGTCAGCTTGAAATTCCGTTAGTTTTCTATACACAAAAAAAGAAAAGTTCTACCGTCAAAACCGAAGCCGAATACTACAATTTGCAAATTTCAAAAACCAAAAGTCACGATTTATGCATGCAGATGCAATAACGTATGCCAATTATTTATTTCTTCGGCGGTTTGGCATCGGGAGAAATTGGAGGCTTCGTAACAAGTTCGCGCTACTTCCGCGTATGCGCCCATTCGGGGCAGCAATTAATTCAGGATCGTCACGCGACCATCGTCCCGGAATTGTCCCGCCGTCCAATTTCGGGAATCGTGCGTCGCGCGTCGCAATGTAATCGAGCCACCGCAGTGCGCGCATAAGAGAGAAAGAGAGAGAGAGAGAGAAGTACAATGTATATCGCACAAATATATATATATATACATATATGTATATGTGCTCCATGGACAATACTCATGCAACACGGATGGCGAATATGTACAGCGTCGCGAGGGGATGTAAAACTGGCGGCGGAGGCGAAGGGACGAGGTAACGGCGAGCAAACGAGAAACGGAGAAATGCGATTAAGCGACAGTAGTCGGCGGTACACTGCGGCATTCCGATCTCGACGATTGCCAAGCGCGGCGTCTCTACGTCAACGGCCAATGTTGTTGTCTGGCCGTCGATCCTATGTAAATTTCATTCCCGGAGTCGGCACACCGTATACGGTCATCTTGCGAGACGCTCGGTGCTCGATCGCGTCGTAAGTGGGAACGATCGTCGAGAACGTTATAACGCAACTGTGTTATCGTCGACTGTTATCGTCGAACGTGTATGTTGATCCGAGTCAGCTGTAATTCGAAGGGTCAATCTCACGATTCTTCTCTTGACTTTGTCATTTATACTACATTTCCTTTTATTTGCATCCGTGAATACTCGCAATACATTTTCCTTTAGGAACGATTAATTTGGCGCAAATTCGAGGATCGAGGGTCGGAATCCCCCGGAAGCTCTCAAATTTGATGCTACAGGCGTCGTCATATATTGTCGTATACATACAGCGAATAGGGGAGTCAAGTAACATAAGCATGCAGTTTCTCATCTCGCCATCGCCGTCCCACTTTTGTTCGCATTTCCTCGCACAGAGGCAACAATTTTCTTGGCAGTCGCGCAAGGATAAGTGGGTTAAGCCTCTAAAGCGATGACATGGCGGCAGTGACATCGGTCGATGCGCGAAGGAAGTGTATGATATTTATATAAGATAATATATATGGTGCGTATTACATATATATATGTATGTGTGTGTATATGTATATATGTACAAATAATACCTAGGCGAACGCCACTTCGCGTTAAGATGTTGCCACCCCGAGCCGGGACTGCCGTACTGCAACAGACACCCGAAACACTGTCATCATATGCGTTTAGCAACTAAGAAAAAAAAAGAGAAAAGGTATTCTATTGTTCCGAAATGCATGCCGGTAAAGAATACGCAAGAAAACAGACACGAACGTGCCGCTCGACCTGCGTTGCATCCGAGAGGCGCGATCTCTCAATCCTTTTCGACAATTTCCAATTCCGTACGGATGTTTAAGAGGGAAAGAAAACGCGCTATTTGGATTTATATAATTATCTTCACCAATTTCTCTCTTTCTCTTTATATTTACCGAAATTGTTACTGCGCTAAATTTCTTACGCGGGCATCATCCTGCGGGCTTATCCTCGCGTGTCCGTTTTTCCGAAAAGACGCGATATTCGTAAAACTGATTTTCAGAGTTGATCCGCGAATAGGCAGCGCACGCGATGACGTGCCGATCGATCGGCTATCGTTGGCCTCGGCGAAGGGTACATTACTTGATTGAAGGGACGGACGTACCACTCCGAAACGCCCGGCCGTAATCCGCGCCGTAAAATAGTAATCCCGCCGCATGGCGGGGATAACACGGCGGAAACGTGAAACACCCTCGCGGATCACTGAACGCGCGTCGCTTTTTAATTGTCCCTCGCTCCCGCGCGCCGGCGCTTCGCCAAATTGTTTCGGGCGAGGCGGCGGATATATTCCATCGCTCTCTGTGCAATCGCAATTCCCTTTTTACGCCACTCGCGATTAAAACGAGCGCCAATTTCACCATTTTTCACCGTTATCAAATCAGAAACTCGACTCGAGTGCGTAAACTTTTCTTCGAGGGCTCTATATTGTATCTTATAATGGGAGAGAACTTTTATTGTCTACTCGTCACGAATAAAGTGTACGCACAATCGCGCGACACGCTTCAATTTATCGCACGTAACACTGGCGGTGATGATAATTCGATTGAGAGTATCGCGTATCTTTCCTCTATTTTTCTGTGTACCTACCTCTCGTATTTCGCATTTCGGTCGAGCGACATGGCATGCCTCGAAATGCATGCAATATGCATCAGTCTCGCGAGCTGCTCTTGCGCATCGACGTTAAGAGTCCTCGACCGACGCAACGTGCAATCCGAGCATATTCCGAGAAAAAAAATCTCGCGCGCGCAGAAAATTTCCGCGATTTTCCCCTTTTGTCCGCCACGGATCGTTTTCGTGGCTGGTAATCCGCCAGTTCGTAATTATTCTCGCGTGTCTAGCGGCATCGAGCGGAAATTTTAAAAGCCCCGTAATTTATCGACGGCGAGGACGTAAAACGCGCTCGTCCCGATTGCGTTCCACTAAATTTTTTTGCACGCCGTGCCTTCACAGGCGTGTGACATACAAAGGACCTGTGGCGTCTAAAGATTTAATATGCATTTGCGAACGTAACGGCGACGGGAATCGCGCGAAAATGCCGAAGAGCAGCTCGATAGCGAGTCGTAAATTTTATGACTCTGGTTAGTGGAGAGAAAAAAAAAGTCTCTTGTGTGAAACCGGCAAAGACACAACGCGGCGCGGCGTTGTTGTTAATTATCAGAGAGATGCGAAAAACATTAATCCAATTACACACAAAGTTCTCCTCAGACTTCACTCTCAGGAGAAATATAATATATTTTCAGTCTATGCCGCGATGTAGAGAAAAATTGCAGGCGATCGGAAACTGGCGAATTAGAGACGCGCTGCGAGAAAAGATCTTTCAGAGAAGCGTTAAAAGAGTCAAAGCGCTCATTATCGCTAACGTTAATATACTTTGTTCCCAAGTGAGATAGCGAGACGAATCGCACATATGACGCCGCGAATATAACACGGATATCCGCGGACATTCTGTTATTCGCAAATTTCTAATTGGTCGATAAACGGGCGAGCAATTTGAATAAAATCGCAAAAATTATTGTAATTGGTCCCGCGCAGTTAAATCCTCAGATCCGATAAAATCCGCGCGGAGCTGCACGGGGCGATCGGAAAGTCATTCGGATTCAAGCGCAAAATAAAAGCGATATTGATTATGATACCGGACAAATGTGCGTTTTCCCTTTTTTTTTTTTTTACCGCGTAAAATGGCAGGAAACAACGTAAAGCGACCACTGCCTTAATTAAAAGCCCGTAAAACCCATAAAGCTTGGCGTGTAATAGCCGCGCGCCGTTATTTACAGTTTATTCTAGTTTCGGGCGCGATTTACGAGCGAGATCTTTTCCGTCACCATATAAATCCCGCGCGCGTAACGTAACCCGTTCCCATTGACAATTAACATTTCATGGTTCACGCGGGAAGCCGAATATTATTTTAAAAGACCGCGCAATCCGCGGATAAATATTAGCAATTTCGCGCCGGGTGCGCGAACGTTTCGCGGGCTCATTAACGCGGCTCGCCTCGTTAATCCTCCCCTCCCCCTCCCCCGATAAAAGAGTGGATTGTTTTCTCTCTCGCAGCTTCTGCGATTTGCATTTTAAAAATAACGCTACCGCGCGACCGGCGTTTTGTCATCGTTATGACACCCGGCGCCGATCTGCATTAGCACCTCATAAAATCTCGCGGAGCAAAACCCGATAATTCGCGCGCAAGTCGAGCTCGCATGGAGCTAGTAAAATTTTAAAAGCCAGACTCGCTGGAAGAAAAAAAAAATCCGGCAAGAGAGGTTTGTGAAACAGAAAAGAACTCCCGACGAGTCCGCAAATTAAGGACGATCAATCTCGCGGGTATTTCGGTATCTCAGAACTTGCGAATCTCGGGATTCTAAACGTGGATAAAAGAATAGCTGCATTCGAGAAATTGCACGGAGAACCTGCGAGATTTTAGAAAAATTCAAAGGACCCCAAAATAGTTTGTCCGGCATTCACGTAGATGCCGACGCTAATTTTTTTATGCCAATTACTTCGAAACGAAAGAAAGAGAATTATTCATCCCTTTCGCAGCGAGCGCTCGATTAGACTCGTTAGTCGGACTCTCTGTATGGGATGAGCGTGCATAATTGAACGGTACTCGCGTGCAAAAAAATACTCGCGCGGAATAGAGCTCGGGCGCGATTCACTCGCGGTTATAAGACGTCAGTCAGTTTCGGTTGCACCGACGTCGGCGTGTGTTAAAGCTGTCTTCCAACTGACGTGTTAATGCCGACAAGGCGTCACGCGAGGCGAACAAAGCTCCTAGGAGCTCCCGGCTCCTGTGGAAATTAACGCGTCACGACTTCATTGGGTTTGATAGGACGCGTCTAAACCTCATTGCACCGCCTGTCGGGACAGGTGCAGCTAATAATAATGATGCTGCGCGTAAATCGAACTGTGTACGATGCTCGAGGAAGTCACGCAACTTATGTCGCAGTTCGGCGAGCGAAAGTTAACATTCGATTCGGCAACGATATCCGTTATTGATTTCATTTTGGAAAGAAACGAAATGAGACATTGCTATTTGCGTTTATATCGGTGATCGCGTGACTTCTCAAAATAAGGCCGAATCCATCTCCGAGTGTTCACCTCGGGAACGGAATTGGAATTGAAACGAATGGAAATACGAAACCGCCGCGCTCTGTTCGCTTTGTCCCACGAACGCGACCCGGACGAGTGTTCCGTTCGCGACCGCGTTTGAGCAACCCTATATATGCTTTTCTCGCGGCGCGATTTGTCCAACAAGTGAAGCCGTGTTAGTGAAGCTGTAAGAGATAGCGTTGGCGTTGGTTAAGCCTTCCCCGCGAGGGGAAAGGATGCGGCTCATTCGGCTGACGGTCTACCACACAGCGCGGGTAGCTACCTTTCATTGAATCAAGGCAGGTTTCCTGTGGTTCATGTTAAAGAATCGGAACTGTAGCCGCAGCGTTAGATCTTTCCGTACTGTTGGGAAAGAATATGTGTCGTGAGTTAAAATTAAAACATATATCGCCAGCTTGGATTCGCAGAGTCGCCTATGAGAGAGATCTCGCGGCACTCGACCGGCAAGATAAGATTCCGATCATCACGAGTGTCAATTACCCGTAATTAATTTTTAAACGGCTAACTATAACAAATCAGAGATACAGGCTCGATGTATGGGAATTCTTTAAAGACGGAAAATGTGCGCCGTTCAAAATATCGAGGCTCGGACATACGCGTTTTCATCAGTCTTGCAAGTCGAGGTGGACCGCTGTAACACGATATCGCGAAATCGACACCGTTTGCTAAGGGGACGTGAGCGCGCCGACGAACACCTACATATGCATCGAATAAATAAACGAGGGGACTGGCGTATATTACAGAATAAGGGGGGACCATCGGTTCTGCCTGCAAAATGCAATCTCGCCAAGATACGGGTTTGAATCATAAAAACTAGACCACGTCATCCATACGTATGTACTGTGATAGTATATTGAAATGTTAGAAGAAAGTCGAACTTAAAAACAAAAAGTCGAACGGGATGCGAAAGACGGAGAGCAAGGAGAAATGATGCCGACAATGTAAAATAAAATCGTGCGGGATGTTAATTAGGTATGTGTGCTTAGCCGTTCAATCGTGTGATCTTGTTTCAGAAATATAGGGAACAAGTCGTGTTCGCTCAGCGATTAGACAGATTCGAAAGGTAATTATTGTTACGCGTGACATTTCTTTCGCGAGAGGAATCTTAGATCATAATGCACATGAAAATGCAAAATTACAAATTCTCCCCTTCTAACAAGCTCAATCGACAGGACACATTCGGGGTCGTCATGATAATTAAGAGTACTCGATCTCGTCAAGTTAATGCATTCCTTTGCACTCATTAAAAAAAGTAAATCTATTGTACATGAAATGATGTTATGTCTGTCGGAGAATCGAGGTTCTTCGGGAGATAGCATTCCGTAAGATCTCTTAACGTTAAGATTATATTAAAACATTAACGTTATGGTAAAGACTACGAGTGCAAAGGGTCAATCGAAAATATTAGAAACAAGTTATCAAGTCGTGGGGAAAGACGAGTTCTCACTTTTGACAAGAAAACTACTCACTGCGCTGCAACAGCGCTATGTTCTATTTTTTAAGTCATCTGCGGGTAGAACGGTGAAGGTTGCAGGACCACCAGCGATCGCTACAAGCTTAGCTCGTTCCGTGGGTTCCACACGACAGACTGGCCAGATAAATGAATCGATTAAAATCAATGATAATCTAAATCGAATTGTGAGACCAAATTTTCGATAAAAACTCAACAGAACAATGAAGAATAGAATAAGGATTTCATAGCTCTTATAATTTCTATAAGTTATAAAGGATTTCGGAGTTTTATAATAAAAAAAAGAGCATATATATATATCGGACTCTGCGAAATAGATCTCTGTAATGATGCATGCTATAAAGGGAGAGAAAGGGAGGACATGGTTTTGGCAGATTTGAACGTAGAATTTACGATGATTAGATTGCAATATTTCGGAAACTGAACTGATTTTAATGCGACAAGAAAATGCGGATACCGTTTGTTAATTGTACTTTACAATGCCGTATTTGGCGACAAGCGAGAGCGTAGTAAATTTAACAGCGCAACTTAAGCAAAAGCTTCTTGTTAAATAAGATCAAGATCATAAAAAGACTGTGTCGTTTAACGTCGATCAAGCGCGAGTCCGATCGAGTTTACAAACCGTTTAGTTAAAGATGAAAATTGGTCAATAGATCCGTACCAAATTAAACTACCCTAATCGTCGCTTCTTTGTGTCTCGCTGAAAATTGAAAACAGGCAGATCACCGTCTGATAGTTGCACTGCTTATAAACATCTTTTTTTATCTGTATCTTTAATAAGAGCAGACGAGATATAAAATAGATATATAGGAGAGTAGTAAAAGAAACCAGATGGTGTGTAAAGACAGGATTCAAAACATGACGTGAGAGGTAGTTATGTTATTTGAGGAGAAACAGCGTTTTTCAAGTAAAAATAAAATGTTTAAGACATAGTCATTCTTATAATATCATTTCATAAATCTTTTGCGTATTTTAAAGTTGATTTTAAGCAGTTTTCAAAAAGATTTGAAAAACACTGCGCCAGAAAATAGAAAATTTCATATTTAGTCGCACAGGAACGAGTCGGGGGTCTCATAATTACCTCTATATGTCACTAACTAGAAAAATAATAAATGAATATAGCGGGACGAATGGATGAATGATGAAATGTGCTATAGTAAAGCGCTACGTGAGACTACGAAGCAGATTCGGAAAGGTTAGAAGCATTTCGTCACGTGGTCTCCATAGTCCCCCATACAATTGCTCCCATCTAAACGGAAAATTAATAGCACAATTATCATCGTAGTAGAGACAATGGTATCTACGTAACGTGTTTGTGAAACGCCTCATTGCACTGCCAACGTAATTTACGACACCTGCTCGAGATTATTGAGCGCTGACCCGTGAATGGAGCGTCGCACTTGACGCCCAAGTGTAGAACATCAATTATTTTAACCTTCTAAGACACATACGCGCCTATTTCCGTAATAATATCCTTGTCAAAATGTTTCTTCCATGATTCACATCATTAGAATTTATATATAGTGACTATTTGTAATGGGCTACGCAAATATGTGAATTAATGCTAATTATGTTCTATCAAATAATAATTTAAAACACCTTTTCATTTCTAGAAAGATGATATTTCATTCATCTTTCGCGTTTTATGGACTACCTGAGCTATAATAAGTATTATTAATCATATCGGCGTTGCGATACCCTTTATGTACTTACTCCTATCGATGTTGCGTTGCAGATGTGCAGCTACGCGATGTCTAGCATCATTGAACTCGAGATGCAACCCGAGTCGTAGCAACGTCGGGTTTTGTTCTACCAATTGTGTGATTTCCATCTCAATCTTGTTACCCAATACTTGTGACCTCTGAAAAATAACGCGAATACCTCGATAGATTTCGTTGTCGCTACTCTCGCATAAAATGTTCGTGCACATGATTTTACATAACAACTTACCTGATTCGAACATCGGAATTCTTCGATAGACTTTGTCTTAAGAAGGGACCTGATGAGCCTTACTATCACAGGCGGGCTTATGAAATTTGTCTCCACGCTGAAGAATAAAGACATTTTTAAATTAAAATAATGAGAAATTATCAACGTGTGAATTTTGTACACAATAATATGTCATTTTTCTGTACATACTTGAGTACTTTGAGTGTCGAATTCTTCTCCACGGCATCGGCCAGCCGTTGTGCGGTCTTGTCATTGAGTCCAACGTTAGTTAAACTTAGCGACTCGAGATGTGTATTCATTTCCAAACCTTCAAACAACTGGATGAACTTTTCGTCCGAAATATTCTGTAACGAGACAACAGTGTCAGTTTAGCATGAAACGCGTCGTTCCCTTCGCAAAAGTATAATCGACTCACTTTAATATTGTTCCAATTTAAATCAGTTAGAGACGAGTCATCGTCCCGCACTTGTTTAATGGTAGCGTCAACGTCTGTGTCATTAGGCGGTTCCATCGGATAAACTTTTGGTTGACTAGCCTTTGTCACCCCGTCCCAGCCGAGTCCGACTGGCTGTCCAGAATTCAGTAGAGACGCGTGATACTGATCTTGATTCATCATAGAATGGAATCCAAGAATAGCTGGAAGGAAGAGATAGTCTCAATTATTTATCTCTCCGATATAACGGGCTTTCAGAAGGGCGATCAATCTTCTTACCAGCAAGATCAATGATTTCTTCTTGGGTGGCCGCCGAAAGCGCCTGTTCATACTCATCCCCGAGATCTATCGCGATCTGTTCATCTGCCTCCTTCTCTTTCGTGTTGTCTTGCGGCGGAGGTACCCACTGAAATGAATGATATTAATGGATCGCATATAAATCTGGATCGCAAAATTTATTTTACTAGTTTTATTCAATCAAACACACACACACACACAATGACTTCTGCTTTTGTATATTTCTTTTCCAACTATAACCTCAGATTTCAGACTCTATCAGACTGGTATTATGGCCATGGGCCATGGCACGTAGAAAAATTTAAGCAGTTTAGTAAATTGACCAAGCACAATCAAATATTCTCAAAAACTTAAGACAGCTTTTTGCTATCTTGGTTTATTTACTTACTGCTTAGGTTCTTTTTATGTTCAGTCGCCGCCAATGATTCCTTTCCTGGGATAAGGGGGGAACATAAGAATACCTCAGGAAAGGAATCATTGGCGGTGACTGTACCATGGCCCTTTTAATTTGTAGACTATTACAGTACTCACTTTCTTGCCCCTAACTACACCAGGTACATATGGTTTCAATTCTGGAATATCAGGTGTCTCTAAAGCTTGCTTGTTGATGTGCTCAATGAGTTTCTTGCGATTCAGCGGCCCTGTGGGGCTCTTGTCGCATTCATAGCTGCAACGTTGCGAAGGCGGCATAAAGCTGTCCTGTGTAAACACAACGTAGATTCAGCATCTCGATAAAACTGACAGACCTATTTATTTTTAGGAAATACACTTACATCAGGATCCACCTCCTTGGCCAATATGTTAAGTTCCTCCGGCGTAAGCTCCGCCAGCAGTTGATCCACGTCAATGTCGTCATACTCGCTCAGATCCTTGCCGTACAGCTTGGCCGCCGTCGTCATGGTAGTTGTCTTGGTCGTCGAAGAGGTCTGTAAATCGTCCCATGGTGTTTGATCAACAACCGAGTGTTTCCTCGACATTTTGCAACGCTCTAGGCTACGCCCGGTATAACGCACTACTCTCGCAGAGATATCATTTCAACTAGAATCAATTGGTTACGATAATCGCTACACTCTAGATTAGTCTAAGACAACGCAATCGCGCGTGAGTCGCGAAGACGACGTTTCCGGTGACGTTTCTCGCGCGTTATCGACGTCTCGGGTTAATTAATCGCGGCGCCCGTCGGCCGGTCCAGATCAATTATTCAAAGGGCGCGTTGCCCGTCGGAGCGGGGGAGGGGGGCGCGCGGGTACAAAAGGCCGTCAACACGGAGGGGACCGCGCCCGTCTTCGCGAGGAGGTGTCTTCGCCGACCGACTTCCTTTATCACAAAGGCGTTATCGGGCGGAGGCGCGTGACGCCGGCCGTACGACCGCGATCGACTGATCCGATCGCGGCGACGTCCGCCGCGTTTAAATTCGGCGAGCGTCCGGTCGCGGCTGATGCCCCCTGACCCAGATAATTCGGGATCGATTTTCATTAACAAGTCGCGTGCCAAATCAGCGGCGACGGCGGCGGGGTCGATCCGATCCCGTCGACCGGTCCGGCCGCCGTCGCCGCCCGGCCGACGGAACTCCGTTTTGGGGACTTACTTCAATGACGCGTCGCCGCGCGGTGTCACCGCGGATCCACGTACCCCGTGCCGCCTTCCGTAATGCGGATGGGAAAATTGAGAGCCCGCTTCTCACTTTCTCAGACGTCGCACGATCCTCACGCACACGAAGGTCGCACTTGTGACGGATATATACGTGGACGCGAACGTCTACGCTGACCAGCCCGTGGCGGAGCGTGGCAGCGCCCTTTAACGCCGATAACGCGATTGCGCCGACGGTCCGATCCTGCGCCCGGTAAAACTTGTCCAGATTCCGGGATCCTCGAGCGGGACCCGTGCCAAGTCTCGTTTCCGTTCAAACGGATGTAAACAAGGGATCGCGGGGTCCCTGCTTGACGCGGCTGCGGCGGGGACGGACGCGATACGCGATTTTGACTGTACGTCGCTCGGACAACTGCACAGTGCACCGTTGCACGCGACGCTGGAAGGAGTTATGACGAGTGGAGTATAGGTCGGAGCACTCGGAGCGAAAGCGGGAGATTTGAAGCGACGACGTGACAGCGCGTCGCGTTGCATTCGGCGTAGATGCGTTTCAGAAAGGGTATATTGAGTGTTTAGCATTTAAACCAGAGTCGGATGTAGACATTATATGTATTGATTATTTCTCTGCTAATTATTATTCGTGAGATTAGGAATTTGGAAATAAAATTTGAGATCCCGAACATAAAATCCTATTAATTCTCGATATCGCGATTTTCAGGGTTCTTGAGATTTTGGATAGTTTTAGGAAAATTAGCATTTCAGAACAACTTTCAGCGCAACCTTCTTGTTAATTATACATTCTCTTAACGCTTCGTCAATGTTTAATTTAGATACTCGCGTTGAAAATTCCAAACTCAATTCTTAGAAAATTATATTAACAACCGAAATTACACACGTCTAAAGACACCTTAAAATAATATCCCAAAAATGTTATAAATCATTTTATAATATATTTTAAGAATAAGACGTGAGATAACGCAAGATATATTTTTAAGATGTCTTCTGATAATTCCATATAAGGCATTTTAACCCTCAAAGGACTCCGTCGGGTCGTTTTCGTCCACCCGAAAAATACGATCCTGAATATCTTTTTTTATATTTTTTTGAGCCTGAAACTCATTTTTTATATTTATTATGAATTTAAAAAAAAATTACTTTTTTCAATTTCTTTATGCTAATAACTAAAAAAAAACTATTAAAGAAAAAAAATTTTTAGAAACCAACATTACAGCTTAAAAGAGGAAAGTTCAAAGAATATCCATAAATTTTGCGGAATTTTTTGAATAATATTTAATATTATTTATAAGTCGAAAGGCAAAAAGGACCCGACGGAGTACTTTTAAGGTGCCAAAAAGCACGGAGTCTTTTGAGGGTTAAAATGATTTTTGGACGATTTCAAAACATCACAACGTTCTCTGGACACATAATGTATAAGATTATGATAATATAAATGTTGCTATATTGAGAGACAGAATAGCTCGAGTTCTTGATTTTCCTGTTTACTTGCAAGTTTCATTTCTTTTCTTTCCCGAGTGAAACGCTGGTATCGATTGATAACTCGTTATCGAACGCGCATCTCTAATGTCGATCAACTATCAGGCTATTGTCAATGTCTACACAGTCTTATCGGCGCGTATCGCCTGCTATTCAAGACGCATCCGTCCATCGCTCAATTCTCTCACAATGCAACATGCATTCGAGAGCCGGTATAAAAATACCCGCGCACACCCGGTGTGTGTGCATCCGGTAACGCGCAAAACCATGCGGCGCGAGTCATCCGCATATTAATCGAGTCCCGCGAGGAGTCCTCGTTTCTCGGCTGACCGTGAAACCGGCACGTGAATCTAACTTTGCCAAAACCGGCAATTCCCCTTCTATACGATCCTCCTGTTGTTCCCTTGGATCACGTAATCCGCGGGGGCACCCGGCATTCATTGGCGTAATCGCGACCTGACAGCGCGCGGAGCCGCTCAAGGTCATCACCGCGAGAGAGAGATCTCGGGCCGAGAGAAGAGGGAATATCGGACCGTGGAGGAGGTGGAGGAAGAGAAGAAGGAACAGGTCGAAGGTCAAAGGGAAACCGCGATATCTATCAAGGATGGTCCATCAGAGCGGGCGACCATCTCCGGATCGGCAGTCCCGATCGGATTGTCCGTCGCGCGTTGTAGCGCGCGCGCTGGTAAGCAGCGCGACACAGCCCGCAAAAATAGCTGAGGCCTCCTCGCTGAGGCTGGCACACTCCCAACAGGCTATACTTGGACATACCCGCGCACGCGATTATTTATAGTGAAGCGCGAGAGAGCGCGGCCACTGGCCTTCTTACGAACTAACCAGCCCGCAGCTATACCGCAGCCAGAGGAGACATTCTGCCGCCCGTGACCTAGGCCCGCATTAATAACGGGCTCCACACCCTTGCTTGCCTTGCGAGCCACGAGGAACTTAGCACTTTGCACTCCTCGCCGGCGGGCGTAGCCCGCTGGCATCGAGCGCCTTCGCGCGCGCTCCTTCTCTCGCTCTCCCCCCCGTCCCTCTTTGCGATTTCGCGAACAGATCCTCTCGTCTTGGGCTCTGTCTCAGCTTCGCTTTAAGTCTCTCGGCACCTAGTTCGCCGCCGAGGTCCTTGGACCCTCGGCAAATCCACGGGTCCATTCATTCCAGACTCTCGAGAGATTGGCGCTCGCGTTTTCGGAGAACTTGGACTCGTTAGCGAGACGATGAACATTTCTCATTTCAGTTGGGCTAGGATTTAAGATCTTACGTCTGTTGATTTTTATACATTTAACTAAATGTAAATCCTGGACGGCAAAACCTATTTTTAAATCCGCGCACCGCGAGATTGTGTTCACGAGCGCGGAAACTAGCGAATTATAAACAACAGCGAGGCTGACAGGTCTCCGGAGAGGAGTGTTGTGCAATTTAAATGAGCTACTAAAAATACATCATCTCTTTTTCGCCGAACGTGTTTCCTTATTTTCTTCTCGCTCGACCAGACGACGATCGTGAAAAAAAGAAGTCGGGGATACGAAAGTCACCCAGTGAAAGATCACATCTGTCCGAGATATTTTTATCCAGATTTCTAGAGTCATTTTCAATGTTAAGGTGATATTTTGCCGCCTATTACGCGCACGAGGTAACAACGAGACGTATTGAACCGAAGAACGGTCGATGTTGAGATAAAATTATCTTTCAGCTGACTGTAATGATCTTATTTGATTTCTATCACGTTTCTCTGATTTGTTTATCTAATTTAAAGACTTTCCAGTGGAACCAGATGCCCGTTACGAGGAAGTAGGTCGAAAATGCTGCCGTGACGCGATGCGCGGCGCGATGAAAAACGCAATCGGCTTTTTTATCCCCTTCGGGAGAAAAAGCGGGATGGGAAAGCGAGTCATTCGCGAGCGGATTGACCGGCGACGTTATCCCGAGTTAATTTCTAACGGCGATTGATCGGCCGACAGGTGCAGGAAGAGCCGCGAGATCTGCATCGTCAAACGTGACGATAACTTTCGATGCTACCTGTCTGCGCTGGTTATATTCAGTTTCTCGCTTTGCTTAACCGTATGCAATCGACTCGTTTGAGGAGAAACGCTTTTCACCTGATTATTCAAAAAACGTAGGATATAATATTTTTAAGAATTATTTTTAAGAATTATTTTTATAAGAATTGAAAAATAACTCTGTAATTAAATATCCACAAATAAAGGAGGCGCGGGCTAATTAAGAGCTGAGCGCGGTAAACAGTGCGCAAATTATTACGTCTAATTAAGTGCTATTTATTTTGTACATTTCAGTCCAAATTTCGGACCGTCCTTAGCAAATCGATTCAATCGTGCAGCTAGAACCGAATAAATTCTCCCTTTACGACTGGATCCGGAGGGAGACTTATTACGCTTGTGTGATGATTGAGTGTTGCTGAAGATCACGGACAGACGCATGCACGATTGAACCGATTGTTAATTGCCTAGGACGGTCCGAAATTTGAATCAAAACGTACAAAATAAATAACACTTAATTAGACGTAATAATTTGCGCACTGTTTACCGCGCTTGGCTCTTAATTAGCCCGCTCTTCCTTTACTTGTGAATAACATTTTAAGATTTTAAAGATATAAAACTTCAAAAAGATAATTAAGTTTGCAGCGTTAGAACAACGGTACGTTAAGCGTAATATTTTACAAGTGAACATTCCTGTAGTCAATACGATTCCGAGTCGTCGATAGGAAAATTCGCGTTATCGCCCCCGCCGTATCTTATAAGATAGCTATAGCCGCAAGTTTCCTCCGCTCGACTTCGTCTAATGTACACGGAGCGTGCATGAATCAAGCGATCTTTGAGGTTCGTTTGCGGCGTAACGGTCGTTAAACATCGTTTTATGCGGCGTAACGTACCGCCGCAACGGTTTCCACGGCGTTACGCCGCCAGTAGTATTTATGCGCGTCTAACAGCTGGCGAACAATGTCGGGAGACATATTGTTCAATGACCTGGAGCCGTTTTCTCGAAGTCGCATGTACGTTCGACGGCCGTTGCGGATCGGTATAATCAACGTCGATATAATCATCACCTATCATCGCTCCGTACGTTTCTCAGCCGCGCGCGCCTGATCTCGAGCCTCGTGTATAATTACAGCGTGCTGCTATGTAATGACGGTAATAACCGCCGCGGAGATCTCGTAAGTCAGCAAGCGTAAGTTAGATCGCGACGTATAAATCATATTCGCGAGACAATATTTATCTGGCGCGGTTCGCAGTCTGCGATCTTCGGAATCATTTTGTTCTCGCGAGGGTAAGAAGGAGACGCGCGCGTGCCAAGCACGCGCGTTACACAATTCCGCGATTCCTCATGCCATCGTGGTCGATTTACGTTTCTCATTCTTTGACGTAGGATCATTTTCTCCTGCACATGGAATCCGTATTGATTCGGTCTCTCGATCCGTCGTTCGATCGGGATTTTCCTCTCTCATTTTCTTCCCCTCTCTTTCTTTCTTTCTTTGTGTGTATGTACAAACAGATTTCCGCTGGCATTGCGCCAGGCACTCGAACGGGAATTAGTAAAATCGTTTCGGTCCTGGTAACCGCGAAGATTCCGCGATTATGAAAGTGTATCGATATCGGCCTCGCGATCTGGGTTATCGTGTCACCTTTTCAATTGCTCGACGACAAACCGCGGCGGATGTGAAACTCCAGTTAGTAATTAGATCGACATCACGCGCGCTTATATAGATTAAGGATGATTTAAAGTCAAACTGAACGAGAGTTTGATTGGATTAGATGTGCGTAACCAAAAAATTGGGATTAAATTGGAATAAGATTTGGAATTGAATTAGGATTCACTCGAAATTGAATAGGATTTAAACGGGCTGTCGAATGGATTAAACTGTAATTAAATGCATGCGAATATCAGGTAAGCGTTTGTCTGCAAGTTGAATCGAAACATAAAGTTCAGATAAAGTTCAAGAGCGATATGTCCTTTCAACACGATTCGCCAACAAGCCTCTCTCCATTTATTTCAGAACTTATATTCTTCATCGCGACAATCTATAAAACGGTAATCACATTTGAGAAATCGTTCGATTATTCGTCTTTAACGCGTTTAGTTAAAATTTCAATAAAATTCAGTCAGTTCCCTCTAAATCAAATGTATCCATTTGCAGACTCCATCCACCGTGACGTCTGATGTACCGCGTGAATATTCATCGATCGACTTCCCGGTGAAAACCCTTCTGTGCAATAATTATCAACGGCGGGCGACGAAGCGTAGCAATTTTTAATACGGTCTGCAACACGTCGATACCCTGGTGTATTACCGAGGCGTCGCTATAAATTGAGCGAGTCCATCGACGAGCATGTGCGACGACGGAAACGCTCGTCCGTGGTAATATCGTAGGTCAGTGATCGCGAGAATTAATTCCAATCACTTTCAATCTGCAAAGTTGTATCGTCTACTGACATGTAATTATCATACGCAACATCTAAACTCTGTGTGCTATTCGCTTCTCTTATCGCGCTATAGCGCGATTCTTAGACGAAAACTTCGAACCCTTTGATATTCGAACGTCGAATCGGATCCTCGAATGAAACAAATTTTGAAATCGATCGAACATATTCGTAATTTTCTTTATTTTTATCTTTGCTCTTGAAATTTTAAGAGAAGGTTAGAAAGTCTTTTTCACGCCTCATAAATTAAGAGAGATCCCCGCGAGCAGACAAATTTGCTTCATAAGTAATTAGATATTTCGAGCAACGCGATCGGACGCATAAATCAACTTTGGCGAAAAGAACTGCGGTCTGCTGGAGGCATGTGTACGGTTAGCGAACGCAGATGTTTAGCGGAACAATACGAGCGGTATTATATACGGTTTCGATTTACTATAGAATAATGAAGAGCCACGGCGTATCGCCGATATGCGCAGCAAGCTGATCAAATATTGACGAATCGTTAATTAGTGGCGCTCGTTCATTTTCTCCGAGTACCGCATGCACAATACACGCATCACTCGAACGATCGCTATTTGCTCGGCCGGATCGCGGCGGCATTATTACCGAAATCGAGGCACGGTTGCCGCTCGATAGAGCTGCGCGATGCTGGAGTTGGCGAAAATATTTCGCGAGCCCGGAAGTATATCTTAGCTTGTCTAAGCATAAGAGCGAATCGAGAGAATACAATTTTTGTTAAATCGTTTAATCTCTCGATTCTTGAACGCGATGATGTCAGGGTCCTTGAACGAAGTAGAGCATTCGTAACGTATAATCGTCGCCTAATTGTCGCCGCGAGAGCTCGTGTCGCTTTAACAGCTCGTCATGGCGACTCGTCGGGCGCGAATCTCGGTAATTACCACAAATGGAGTCGTACTTACGCAACGGAGGTGCCGCAGGGACGAGTGATCTGATGTGAGATAATCACGCGGCACAGATTCTCGCGAAGGAACTGGCTGTGAGACTTTGAATTCGCAAAGGAACCGCGACTGTGAGACCTTTGGATTCGCGATAATGTCCGCTGAGATGAGGCCGAGCTGGGCCGAGCCGAGCGGGTAAAGAGCGGCGCGCGTCAATGGCAGACGACAGTCGCCCGGAGCCGGAGTGCTACTAAACAACCGAGTTTTATGCTGGAGCCGCGATGAGAGTACCGGAGCGAGTAGAGTGGTATTGTGCGCGCGAGTATAGCGAAGTCGCTATACGAGTCCGGTGGTGGCTGCGTTCAAAACGACTTTCACTTCGGGCCGCGGGGTCCGGCTTCCCTAGATGGGGGAGATCCAGTTTTTCCAAAGCTTTTTTCCAATTAAACACGCAGCTCAATGACAGATTACAGGTGACGATGATGTCAGCGGAAGTCATATCTTGTTTGCACTTCCCCCTCTTGGAAAGAAAAATTCTATTACATTATCAAGAATGAATCCCAAGTTCTTGAGACTCCGTTTAAATAAAACTCAAACACGTCTCCGAGCTCGAGCACTCGACAAATACTAAATTACGACGTGAAGAATGTACTTATTCTGTAATATATACTCTTCTGCGGAATTATATGTAAGGATATGTAATTTGTGTTTACAAATTATAAGGTAGAACTCTTTTCATTCAGGATAGAAGACCAAATAATGAGCGAAGCGCTGACTTTATCCACCGTATTTCTTCGCATAGACGTGGTAACGCGGCCACATACTCTATCCTATATGTTGCAAGTACAATGAGATATCATCTGACGTTTGATAAATTTATTACCTTGGCCAAACGGCATTTTCATCTCCGTGGCGGTCCCTTGTACGAGTAAACAACCCGTTGCCGCGCCGCCGTCGAGATCGGCGTGATATCATCTGACGGACTCGCCGGATGACCTCATCGCGCCTGCATATCAACCGTTAGATAGAGAGATGCAGGCGAGATCCGCCGCGCGTCTCTTCTATGGAGTTTTTCATAAAACTCCCATTATACGTTCGGTATAATGGCAGGTGCTATTGTCCGAATGTGCCGCTATGCGAATTTCGTGTCGTAGGCGGTTACGAATATGTGAATAATTTATGTGCGTATAATTTAATATGTCCGCAACGCGCAACATGATCGCAGACCTGTGGTGTATCCGAATTCCCAGACTGCGCAAACATATGAAAATCGTCGTAATCGTAAAAACGTCTAATGGCCGTCCTAATCTGTCAGACATCTTTATACGATATCTTTTGAACTCTTTCACGCATCTGTTTGAAAATCAGCGGACGTTCGAATACCACAATACATACACCATAATTATATTAAACTTTAATCGTGAATCGCCTCATAAGAATTTTTTTATAGCTACGGAACACCCTAATCTGTGTTTTTTATTCTCGGTGATTTTTTTATAGCTGCTGAACGGTCTGTCGCTGTGATATGTCTGAGAAAAGAGAGTTTCGGAAAACAGCAGCTACAAAACATTATCGGAGAACATCAGTTAATAGATTATTTTTTTACGGAACAATATCTACATAATAAAATTGTATAGTACTTTTAAGAATTAAATTATTAATGTTAAAAGTGCAAGAATAAATATCCTTTGTTCTACAAAATAATTGCAACGAAGATCCCATGCATCTTCCGCGGAGGCCGACGAGCATTCGTCTCCCGAGAGTAAATCTCGAAATAGCGAGAGAGGAACGCGACGTAAAGCAGTAGATACAATCAGAATGAGTTTTCCTCGGGTCCTCGATCTTTGATTCCGCTTCGCGGAAACTCGTTGTTTCTGGCCGCGGCTTTTACAAAAATACGAACTGCGAAGAACCGGGAGTCTTCCATTTCGGATCATCCGCGATTCATCGGTGTATTTCGAGAGCGTGGTCGACCTTGATCGGCGATGACCACACTTCCGTGCTCGCGGATACGTTTGTTTCATATTTCGAACAGACACGCCATCAGCGACGATCTTTTGGTAAGCTTCATCCTTCGGTACTCCTCACTGTCCGTCGCCAATCGTTGTTTCGTAGATTGAGCTACGTTCATAAACGTTGCACGATCGTTGATCAATATGCATTCGAGATGAATAAATACGGATCTCTATGAATAAATAGGAGTCGGCGGAAAGATTGCCGACAAATGGGGAGAGTTATCAATCCCGCCGCGTGATCGATCGGAAACACCCCGGTGATGAGAAACACCGTCGTCGGGGTCGCTGACACGGGCCGACCGCGACACGGCATATACCCCGGTGCACGTTGTTTCCCCCGCGATCTCCGGTATACGGTGCGTAAATAATCGCGCGTGTCAATGCGGCCTAAGTTTAGCGCAACTCGTAAAGCCGGCCGGCCGGCCGGCCTCCGCGTGCACGCGCAAATCGATCACGGGATCAGAAGAGGAAAACGTTTCACGTGCGTATTTCGGGACGGTTTATAGATCACCGCGCTGTTTGGGAACACTCGCGATTTATGGCCCTGGCGTTAAACTGACAGGTACGGCGGAGGTGTGTGATCGCGCGGTGCAAACTTGTTGGCATTATTGGAGTCGTAAAGCGTTTCTTTCGTATTCCGGAAATTTATTTCAGCTTCTGCCGCTACTCAAAAACTCCTTCAGAGAGACCACAGATACGAGAGAATTGAGGAAAATGCGGCTGCAAACGTTGGCGCTGGTTCCACGTGTCTATATAAGTGATACGTCAGACTCGAGAACAATTAGATACTTTTACTCGATGCCATTCGTGTAGCTGCTATCCACAATGGCGTCACAAAGACACCATTGTTAGCGCAGACAACGTCTTTGTCCCTTCGACTAATCTTTCGACCGTGCCATCGTGCATTTAAAAGGCCCCCTTAGTCACGATCGGTTGACCA